GGGAGTAGTGTTGAAAAATAGATAGATAAACCCATAAACCTACGTGTAAACTTTGAAAAACCTCACCTGCCTACAACCTTTCAAGAGACATAAGATTGTTGCACTTGTATGGGTTTGGAAAGCCAAAAACACAAAGAAGCTTGATAGCTGAGTATGCTTAAGATGGTTTTAAAGCAAATGCTTCAGATATGGCTAGCAGCATTCAGCACAAGCGGTAAATCCACCCAAGAAAATCAACATAAAGCAATAAACCTGGGGTGAGTTCCAAGTGGCCACTAGTTTAAAGCCAGCTCAGAGATAACTACACACAGAGCACATAGCACAGGTGTGGCTCACAGGTAGTGCCATTTTCCAAGCTAAATAAATAAGTCCTTCCGTTTGCTCATGCACAGTGACTTACACTGCTCTTCTGTGTCATGCCAACTTCTCATGTGAATGTTGGTTGTGGAAGGAGGGAGACCCACTTTGGAATGATATAATTCACCTAATTAATGATGCTTGGTATATTTTATCACCCTGAAATTCATCCAAGAGTACAGTATGCAATGTGGATATCCTAGGGATGTCTCTGACAGGTAATTCTTTATTTCTGTGCTGTTTCTTAAGAGCAAGTGGACTGGCAATCCTCAAGGGGACTGCCAAAGCCCATACAATAGCCCAGGCAATTTGACGCTATTAGTCATTGTTTCGTTCTGAGTGTTTACTTCGGTCATTCCTTTTTCAATGGAAAGCTGATTAGAATAGCTGCCTTGTCTTTTGTATGTTGAATGGACACCACAGTATTTCAAATGCCTATCTGGCTTTACCTTTGCATTGAAAGAAACTCATATTCAATGATGGCATAAAAATCCAGTCTTTTCATTTGCCTGAGATTTTTGTTTGTAATCTCTGTTGACACCCATACACATGCCATAAAATTAGCACTTTTTCTTAGGAGAAACCTAGCATTGCAGGTAAGAAGGGTTTGCTGAGTTGCACTACGAGAAATGATTCATCATGCTTTTGTGATGCATAATGCTGATATTGTCATTTACATGCTTTCAAAATTATTGTTTTTACTCATATAAATGAGAGGAAAGCTGCTGAAAAATTCAGAAAGTGATGGCAGGCACTTGTGAAACTTTGGCACAGATTGCTTTTCGTCAGGCAGGAGATATGCTAAGGTATTGTTTTTCAGTTCTCTCAGGTACTTTGCAACCCAATCACTGTTTCTAGAGATAGCTTTCAAACATAGTGTTTACATATAGAATCATACAATAACTGAGCTAGGAAAAGACCTGTGAGATCATGAAATCCAGTCATTAACCCAGCACTGCCAATTCCACTGCTAAACCATGTACCTACCTGCTCTGTGTGAAAAACACAAGACAAGTAACTGGAAGTTTGGTGGTTCCCTGCAAACTTACAGATATCTTTATGAAACTTTGAAATACACATCTATTGCTTCTTCTCCATTTATTAGAAATTAGAGTATGATGGCAATAAATTATTAGCATCACTGAAAAGCCAGAAATGACATCTGAAGCACCCCCCCTGCATTTTGTTTGCTTTGTTATTGATGGTATGCAGGCAGCCTTCCACTTGCCTGGCTTCCAAACTGTTGCGTTGCCACAGCTTTCCGTGTGCATTAAATAAAGGCTCAGCACTCTTCATTTATTGTTTACGGGTATAGGCAAGGCAGGGAAAACAGAGTCAGGCAGATCGGTGTGGGAGAGGAGCATCTGCTGCTGGAGGGTATTTAGCTTCCTGTGCAGCAATCTGAGCTTCCCAGCCTGGCTTCTCTTTTCTTCTCCCGCTACTTTCTGAAAGTCATGACCTGTTGCAAAGTTCCCCTTTTGTCAAGCACTGTAAAAAAAGGAAATGTCACTTTCTGTAAAGCCAATTAGCACCAGAACCTGTCCAGCTACGACAAGCATTTTGTAATCCCTCTTCTGAAATCGAGTGGTGGGGGGATGGGAAGGTTCTCCTTTTAAAAACGTTGCTCCATGAATCAATTACCCTTTTTTAATTGTAATTGTCGGTAGCAATTTGTGGAATGTGGCACACCACAAATATTGTGCTCTGGCGTTTGAACAACTGAACACCCAAGCCCTGATGTCACTGTCAACACCCCGCTGCTGTTGGCAGGGAGGCAGTGCAGAAAGCGACTGCCCAAAGGGATTGTCTCTTCACTTACACTCTCGGGCTCACTGCCAGCTCCTGTTTCCTCTAGCAGTATATGGAGTGAGAGAAGCATCCTCTCTCAGAGAGTCAAGCATGTGAAAAGAAGATTTCACATGTGAAACTGAGACCTGGAAAACAATCACTTGGCTTCCTTTTCTTTAATTTATTTCCCATATGATGGAGAAATTTGCATAGAGAGTTTATTTTTAGCTTACTGATCCTTTTATGTGCCTAGAATCCCATTTTTAATAATAAGGTGAGATGAGAATTAACCTTGGGAGCTTTATCACATAGGTGTTCCATGGTACTTTACTTTTTTATTTATTTTTTTTTTAAATAAATGTGTAAAGTCTATGGCAGAATAAGCATAAGGTTAGAAGATTTGTGCTCCTGATCATGTTTCAAAACATTCTTCAGACAGAGTTCAAGGAAAAGTCCACTGAAGTGAGTTTGACATACAGACACTTCCACTGACAGCTGCAAATATCGGATTAAACCCCTGTTCCATGGCCTTGAGCAAGTCTCATATCACATTTAAGCCAAGAAGATCAGTATGTGCTTACCTGAAGAAATGCTTATGTTTTTTGTAAGGCTTCAAATTTGAACATACAAATTAGATGCAAGAACTATGGTTTAGCAGTTAGTACCTTTCCTGCAATGTAAATTTCATGGAAGGCAAGAAGGAACTTGCTGCCTTGCTCCAGTTCATCCCTTGAAGGTGTTAGAGGAAAACTGTTAGCAAGGGTCCAATTTCCTTCTTGCAAATGGAATCACCAATGTGCTGAAAAGTGCCTTCCTTTAACATGCAAATGACTGATAGAGGACATGTCTAGCAGGGTACTACAACACCAAATATTAGTTGACTTTTTCAACTGATTGGTTGGGTTTGTGGGGTTTTTTTGTTTTTGTTTTTTTTTATAATCACAGGAAGAAACTGCTGATACAAAACTCAGTAAAGCACTAAATATATATATATATATATATATGTATGTATGTATATTAGCTCATTGATATCCAAACTAAGAATTCCTAAGCTATCTATCCTTTACAAACCACGGCCTCAGACATTTCTTGAGGATGTCAGCTCTATCCCATCTAAGTGTGCTTTGTTGTCCTCAGAAGTTACTTGACATGTGAAGTTTTGCATGAACACATATCTTCCTTGCATCCTCCTAATAATAACAAACGTAAGCAAACAGAAAAGGACAAGGAGATGTGCAATTTCTCTAGCTGCACCACGAATGCAAACCATTATGGAGAGGATTTAATTCTACAGAAATTAGCTGACCTCCTGCCACCAAAATGCAACAACATTCATTTAGCTTCACCAGAACAATCCTGCTTTGGTATGGAAAGTACATGTAACATTACCAAGGTATGTGACTACCTCAGGATTACTCCACCAGAAAAAAAAAAAAGGTATAGGAAGGCAGAGAAACAGCAACAGTGTAAAACTTTTGTCACTGTACCTCAGAACTATAATTGAATCTAAGCTCAGCAGTGGACTCTGCTTTGTAGATAGCAGCAAAGCTCCATCTAAGGCTCTGGCTTAACACTGATTTAGGGGATCCATGGCTCTGTCCCAAAATGAGTAGAAGAAAAGAAGGTAATGTTGCTACTGGACAAGAAGTTTCTGGAAAAAAAGCCAAACCCCAGTCATAGAAAAATTTGCTGTTCTTTGATTTCAGACCATTTCCTGCAGTGAAGTCTGGGGAACACTGACTTGCTTAGACAAATCTGTGAGAAGTTAGAGAATCCATAGCTGAGAACAATTCTAAAGAATATTTATATTACATTTACTCTCACTTAAAAATCAGGAAAATCTTTGGCAAAACTGAAAGTCTGGGTCTGTAACATCATTGGGGATGCTTATGAACTGATCATCAGTGTAATTTCACAATTCCTAGTCATGAGGTTCAATGCCCTAAAGCATCAAAGCAGTAAATGGTGATAACCTCGTTTTACAGAACTTGCTCAAAAGCTAGCAGAGTTAGCTGGTATCCAACACAGAAGATCCCTTGGGAACATTTTTTATGCCATTATTATGAAAATATGTAAATAACCCCAATGATATTATCTATTCCTGGTCCTTGCCTTCCTGAGATGTTCCTTTGGCCTTCACTCTTGCACAGTTCCTGACTCACACCGTGTTCATCTCAGTTTTGGAGGTGCTCATGCACTGCAGGAAGAAACTAGACTTTATACATCACATCTCCAAATGCAATGGAGCTCAACTTTAGGAAGAGTGTGGGCTGACTGGAAATCCTGGTTTACTATAGAAAGTATTGTTGGGATTGCCATGGGGACAAGATTTTACCTCCTCAAAAATACAGTTCTGGAAATGCTATGAAAAATAGCCAGCCAAGGGGGGGGAGGACAACCATGAAACAGAGAAAGCAGCATCCCCAGGGATCTTACTGAAATGTATTTACAGTTCTCCTTGCATATATTAATACTGTTTGTGACTCAGGGCTTTTAATTCACCATCAATCACACTTGCATCGAATACCCTGCTGGAGGGCAAGGAGCAGGGAGGAATACGCTCCGTGGTTTCCATTCAAGTACACCAGAAGGAGCAGAAATTAAATGAATTCCCACATGCCTGCTCCTGTACCCCCTCCGACCTCGAAAGCGAGCGTGCCTTTGCTGCCGTGCAGGGCTGCTGCCAGACAAAGGCGCAGAGATTTCCCCGTCTCCTGTCAGTCAGCCACACGCACTCGCACACACACTCCCCCCGGCGTCTCTCGGATCTTTCACGTGAATACTTCAGTAATTTCCCAGTGCCGTATTTGCAGAAACAGGAATCACGCGTCCCATACACTCCCTCTGCCCCCTCCCCTGCAGCAGCTGCCCGCCAAGCCGGATGATGCTGCGGCTGGGAGCGACTGCTGCTCGGGGCTGCCTCTCTGAACCCCCCGAGCCGAGGGAGCCTGAGCACATCTGGAACACCGCAGCGGCGGCAGGCAGCAGCCCAGACCCAGCCAAGGCCCCCACAGCCATGGCCCAGCCCTGGTCCCAGCCGTTTCCCTCCGGGCCGGGCGGTGCCAGGCGGGGCCGCCCCGCTGCTCGGGAGCGGGCCGGGAGGCAGGGCCCGGCGGCATCCGGCCAGAGCCATTGTCTGCTGGCCCGGCACCAAAGCCTGGCCTGGGGGCGTTGTGGGGTGGTTCCCTTCTTCCACTGCAGCAGGGGTGCAGCGGCATCAGCAATGGGATTTCGCTGTCCCTGCATCGGGATGCAAAGGCAGCAGGGGGTTGGGGGGCACGCCGCCGCCAGCTCCCGGAGCTCTGAAGGGACGAGGGTTTCGGCTTTTCCTTCTAAACGCCGACATTTGAGTAACGTTATCAGCGAGGTGAAATTGCTCAGCCGGGAGAGCGTCGCGCAGGACGCGGAGCACAGCCACCGCCCGGCTGCAGCCGAGCACAGCCCTCCGCCGCCGCGGGAGGCGGCTGCCCCTGCCCTGGCCCCGCTCCCTGCCTCTGTCCCGGTCTCAGCCCCCGGCCCGGCCCGCCCCGGACACGCAGCAGCCCCGGGATGGGGGCCTGGGAGCCAGGGGCAGTGGTCGCGCCCCCCCCGCCCCCAGCCCGTCCTGGGGCTGTCTCCCGTCGTCCGGGGCCGGGGAAGGGACCGAGAGGGATGGGGGCCTGGGAGCCAGGGGCAGTGGTCGCCCCCCCCCGCCCCCGGCCCGTCCTGGGGCTGTCTCCCGTCGGCCGGGGCCGGGGAAGGGACCGAGGAGACTGGGGCGATGCTCGGCTACGAGCCGAGCTGAAAGCTCCGCTTGTGTCTCTGAGTGTGCCCGTGTCTGTGTGCGTGTGTAGCTTTGTGTGCGTGTACGCGTGTGCACGGGGAGAAGGAGGGCTGGGCGAAGAAGGGAGGGGGAGGAAGCAAGAAGAAAAGAGAGAGAGAAAAACGCGGAAAGCGGCAAAAATGACATCACCGTCATCATTTGCATAGGCGCGGGGATAAAACCGCCCCGCCAGCGAGCGCCCTTTATACTGGCGTGCGGAGCGGCGGCAGCAGCGAGCGGCGGGACTGAGCATCACCGCGCGGCGACACCGGTGGGTCCCGCCGCACCCCCAGGCACCCCCCCGGGTCCCTCGGCACCGGCAGCATGAACCCGGCACCCCTGCCGGGGGGGGACTGCGGGCAGGGCAGGGCAGGGCGCGGGGCTTCTGTCCGGGGGGGTGGGAGGGAGGCGAGCAGGAAGGGAGGGGGCTATTGTCCGTGTGCGGGTATTGTCTGAGGGCGCGCTGCTGCAGGGCGGTGGCGTGCGAGGCTCCAAGGCGGCTTTGTTGCCGCCACTGGGCTATGTTTTTTAATTAATTTTCCTTTAACGAGTTAAAAACGCGGTCAGCGCCGGGCGCGTCCCCCCTATTGTACTCCGCGGCGCGCAGATTGTGGGACCTGCCCCCGGTGCAGGCTGGCGGCGAACCGCAACGCTTGGGATGCTGGATTCTACAGACGCTTCCCAAAAATTAGAATTAATTTAAAATGTGTCGGGGGTGAAGCGTTTAACTTGCAGCGAGCTTGAGCGTGCGGGTCCCCGCGTTGGGCGCGGCGGGCGCGGCCCCGCAGGGGCGGCGGGCAGCCCTGGCCGGGGGTAACGCGGCTCTTCCCCTCCTGCGCAGACACCTGCCAACATGTCCGACAAACCAGACATGGCTGAGATCGAGAAATTTGACAAGTCCAAATTGAAGAAGACAGAGACGCAAGAGAAAAATCCGCTGCCTTCAAAAGAAAGTGAGTGAGGGCAGGCGGCAGGGAGGAGCAGGCGCGGAGGGAGGGAGGGAGTCAGGCAGGGAAGGAGGGAGACGGGCAGGGAGGGAGGGAGGAAAGGATGAAGGGGGGGAGGCGGGAGGAGACAAAGAGGGGCGGCAGGCGGGAGCCGGGGTGCGGCGGGTGGAGGGAGGATACACGGCTATGTCTGTGCTAGACAGCGAAAACCTGAACCCACCGCCTAGCAGAGCTTAATTTACAATTATCTACACCCCGTTTTGATCTGTAGCTAAAAATATACATTTATTTTATCAGTTTATAGCAATTGTCATGTGAATGCATATCAGGTTCTCGATTTTCATTGTGTTTTCTCCTTTTCTGTTTTTTCCCCCCTTTTAGCAATTGAACAGGAGAAGCAAGCGGGTGAATCGTAATGAAATCTACCCTTCCAAATTATGCACTGTACATTCCACAAGCATTGCCTTCTTATTTTACTTCTTTTAGCTGTTTAACTTTGTAAGATGCAAAGAGGTTGGATAAAGTTTAAAATGACTGTACTGCCCCTTTCACATCAAAAGAATAGAGAGAACTACTGACACTGAATGAAGGCGCTGCCTTTCCCTCTGCCTGTCTGGCTTTGGTCCTGGTGGCATGAAAGAGCTTGCATGTTGATGAAAGAAGAACTTGGGTGGGACTACAGTAAACTAGAGTAACACGAATAAATGCAAAGCTGTATCGAGGTCCTGCGAGCTGTAAAATGCAGTTAATCGAGTGCCATTTTTTTTTTTTTGTTCAAATGATTTTAATTATTGGAATGCACAATTTTTTTAATATGCAAATAAAATGTTTTAAAACCTGGATGGTATTTATGTCCTCTATTTGGAGAACTGTATCAATGGATAAGAAGCATAAGAGCCGGTACTGAGACACAGGATACTATAAAACCTTTGGAGATGCCTCAAACATCAGTCGCCATTCTCATTTTTTTTCAATAGGTGTGCTCACCAATACATAAACTTTTGATTCTTGAAGCTAGTTTTTAGACAGATTTCAGTAAAAAATTGCGTATCTTATAATTTGTCACCATGTGAGTATATTCCTTTAAATATTTCTTTTATGTAGAGATTGATAAAGGCAAAAAAATCGGGCTGCGTTTATTGCTTTGCCCCACCCATAGTGTAGCTCTTTTATTAAGAACCATTCTGTACTGTTGCAGAGATTCAGCCTTGGTTGTATAAACCCCTAATTAGTTTGTTTAATAATTAAGGCTTGTTATTTTGATACGGTATTTAAAGGAAGCTGTAACTTGAATTTTTAAGTCCAAGGTCGAACATAATCTTTTTAGTTTCATAAAGCATTTGGTGGTTGGTGTTCCATGGAAATAAAAATAATTTTGCTACTATGTTGCTCATGTTTTGAACAACATCTTGTAACAGTCTCCTTGATCCTAAGAACTGGTTTCAAAGTTTATAAAGCTACAGTCTTCTTAAAAATTCAAAATGGATCATTTGGGGACAAAAACATTTGTGGTAACTTATAAAATAAAGATCATAACAAATCTGGCATGCAAATAGCCACACTCCACTGCTGGTTTATGGCAATTCTTTCAGGCCTGGAACGGTTTTTTTGATTATTTTTCTTCAAATGACTGCGGCTAAAACCTGTGATCCAGGGAGATCAGTAGGAGTTGTCTTTAGTAGTCATGAATTTCATCAAAATGGAGTGAGTAATGAACATTCTGGGAAACAAAAATGCTGTCAGATAACCTGTAGGAGGGTGGTGAGCATGCTTCTGCAGTGCCTTAGTTTTATCTTATGGATTTGAGGCTGCATTAATTTCAGCCAGTTCCTATAAAGCAAAATTAGTCCCTCTGGGGAAGCTTGAGTTTTGCTGAGGCTGCTGACTTGGTGGGGTCATGTAGACTTGGGGTTTCATCCTATCACTGCTTCCTAAAAGCATCTGACTGCAACAATAAGCTGTCCTTGGTTTTACACCACTGAGGGCAGTGAGGCTCCTCTCCTTGGAGATTTGGTGGATGTCTGTGCTTCTGGAGAAGATGGGAGCCAGAGGGGTGCCACATGCTTGTGGGCACAGTCCCCAGCCCCCCAGCAGTGGAAAACTTTCAGAATTGAGTGATAAGAATCTCAGTTTGGGCTTGAGATTTTTTTGATGCAGTCCATGGGAAAATTTGGGAAGTCCTGGTGTCATATAAGGACCTTCACAGTAATTTAAGGTGATGAGTTCAGGAAGGAAATGAACCATTTCTTGTGCTTGTTTAAGCTCTGATTTTATTCCCCATGTATAATGGGAAAGATGGGAAACTTACAAGCTGAGTTTCTGAAAAGTCAATTAATCAACTCCCAGCTACTGATCTTAATCAGGTAGCAGGGGATGTGACACGACTTGGTGCAGAAGTGTACAGTATGAGCTGCACGTGCACAGAGGAGCAGAAGCAAGTGCTTGCTTAGTGTGGATTTATCTATAGGAAAAAACCAGCAAGGTATTTCTGAGGGAGGCAAAGCATGAGGTATACACAGCTCTGGGTAAGTCAATGAAAATGCATGCTGTAATACAGCACAGTTCAGCAAAAACATAATGAGTAATGAGGCCTATGACTTCAGAACTGCACGTCCAAAATGATCAGTGCTGGTCAAAGGGTACCACCAACTGCTGCTCGAGGTGGTGAAGCTCAGATCTGTTTTCAGGAGATAAGGCACTAAGCCACTACTACTCTTATAGCTCTGTTTCTGCCATCAGGGACTGAACAAAATTACAAAATCAACTGTGAAGAAATCCTTCCAGGTCAAATTCAGGGATTACTGACTGGAGTCAATCATCCCTTGCTTTGCTCCTTGTTCAGCTCTTTTCAAACATTCAAAGAAAAATGTGGCAGGTCTTTGCCATGCTTTGCATAGGCAATACTGAGGTGGTCTCATCTGACACCTATTTCACAGCAATGCAATTGATGATGTGAAACATGAAGGCTTGGAATCGATTGTAATACTCAGGTCTGTGTCTGGACTGGTTGTTGGGTGTTGTTAATAAAATCAGTCTCTTCAGTTGTCAGTCTAGAAACTTTCATCAGCCACAAATTAACTAGAAAAAAAAAAATAAAGCCCAAAACCTGGTTATGAAAAAGGGTCATTGGAGAGAGAAACATATGGGTTTTGATCTCACACTCAGTGCAGGCACAGTCTGCCAGCCCTATGAGACTTATGATGTCTGGAGATGCTGCCTCCCCACCCCCAGCCGAGAGGCAGCTCTGCCGAGGTGATGTGGTGAGAAGCTCTGCCCTCCAGTACTGAAACAAATTCTTTCTTTCTCAGTATTTCTCAGAAGATTTTCTCTCCCTCTCATGCATGCCCCCAGATATCATTACCTGTACATATATTGGACAGAAAGCATATGCTAACGGTATCCAAAATAGATCATTGTGGTATTAATTACAGAAATGTGGAGACTTCAATGTAAGCATTTTGGTCTCCCAGGCTATTTTTGTGCAATGTTGTATGTGTGATAAAACACCACTTCCCCTAGTAACCCTTTACTTCCCTAGAAACAGTGTAGAAATGAGCAGTTCCTATTGTGTATTGTGATCATATATGGCTGCCACATACATCTGCTGCACAGCAGAATTTTATTCATAAGGAACCCTGTGCTACTCCAAGCATCATATAAAACACAATGAGCACATGATACAGTGCTCAGTGCAATAGTTCCACTGGGCTGATACTAAAATGGGTGTGAAGAAATAAAAAATGCAGCTCTTGCTTATTTGTTGATATACAGTAGGATGACTATGCAAAGCAACCTATGTCAGGCTTGTCCCTCTGTGAGACCCTCTGATGCGCCAGCTTTGTGCATGTTCAATTCAAACAGGCAAGGCAATCAGATTCTAAAAAAACAGGCTATTTTTTAATTCAGAGAAAAGGAATTGCAGACAATATTTATTCATTATTTGTATGCTGTCTGGCAGTTTCATTTGCTAGTGTTCCTGTGATATGGTGATTAAAGGAAAAAAAAACAAAAAAACAACACTCTGCACTTCACCATACACCTGTTACAAAAAAAAAAAAAAAAAAACCAAAACAACACTCTGCACTTTACCATACACCTGTTACAAAATTCTGTGGCTTAATGACAGGAGTCTATTTTTCTCTCTGTTTTCAGCTGAAGTTAATGACCTGAATTCCAGTATTGCTTTTACCAGGTTTTAAAAATATCAGAACCCTTTCTGACTTCCTCTTCTTCCTGTTTAGAAAGAAAAAATAAAAATTAAACATGGTGGATTCTCAGAGATGCTTAATTTGCCTCTGGGTTAATGAGCTTTTAGCATATTGGGAGCAGAGCAAAGATAATTTTTTTCTCCTGTTTCTACAGTCGTGAAGATTACAACACCACTTTTTCTCATTGTAATCAAAAACTGGAGTTCTCAGGAGATTTTTCAGTCTCATGGAGTTTGGGCTTTATGAAAACTGTCAGGCACGACAAGATTCATGCAATGTTATGGGAAATGGCAACTTGGAGGTTCTGCAACCACTGCTCCCTCACAGTAAGTGGATATTGATGGCTAAGCAGAGTCAAATATAGCCCTATAGCCTTGGTTTCAGACCATAATATGCAAAGAATGGCATAGTAAGATGACTAAATATGGTGTTTTTTTAATTTCCAATTCCTGTGACCTTAGGTTTTCTGATAGCTCTAGATTTATTTTTTGCCTAACACAGATTTTCCTTTCAGCAATATTTTGGAACTGACTGAGAGGATTTACTCCAATTTAAAAACATTTCCAGCATTTGAATAGTGCCCAAATATTCACCACGTTCCCCATCAAAACATTGTCTTGAAAAAATTTTCATCATTATATTGACCAAAGGCTTCTCAGTGATGAAGAAAATTTTTCCCACTATTGTAATTCTCATCATTTTATCCTTGGCATGTGGTCATGGGCTTGAAATTTGGTCCTGGAAAAAATCTCATGTGATTTTTAGACACTGCAGATTCCATGAGCAGACACTTGCAATGCTCTTTGTTTGCATGTAATTACCAAATATTCAGTACAGTTACTACACTTAGAGATATGTTTGAAAATGGAAAGAAAATCCCCAAAAATCAAAACAACTCCTCTCAACAAACACCAAACTAAGAGGAGGAATGAATTTGTGTGTTTTATAATATCTGCCATGAGCAATTTAATTATTCCTAGAATCTTCCAGTGATGTGAAACTACTGCAGTAACATTCTGGTCTCTAAAACAAGTTAAATGAACTCACTGAAATCTGCTCTATAGACCAAAAGTATGAAATTCAGATTCTCAGATGGTTCAAATATTAGTTAACGTATTTTGCACATTATCATACATATTACTTTATGTTTAAATTTTTATAACGGTTCCTCCTTTCCATCAGACTATAACTATATATGATATGGTTTATATTAGTCAGGTATAGCATTTTTAAATGTCTTGAAATGGATAAATACTTCTTCAATCATCACTTGAGGTTTTGGAATTTATCTTTAAAGCCTTCTGCTCAGCTAGATTTTGATGTAAGATAATGTAAAGAATTGTGGAGCCACATAATAATCAGAAAAATAATTTGCTGGATTAATTTTTCATGCATCTTAGTTCACCTCACCTGCTCTATATCATGTGGTTTGTACAAGAAAATTGAGCCAACAGAAGAATATTCTTCATCCTTCTACCTAAACTGGACACTGCCTCTGAGAAATGCTACTGACCTGTGCAGTGTGAATAAAAAAGTATTTTCTTTGTATTGCACATATTTCTTGATGTTTAATGCGGGAACCAGTGGTGGTGAAAAAGAGGCCATTGCAGAGTGACATCCTCGGACAGAAAAGTGGACGTGGCCCCAGGCATCCATGCTGCCAAAGTGGAAACCATCTTCAGCATGCTGAGCACCCTCCAGGCTCACAGCAGGGTTACTCACACCATCTTGGGTCCTTGTGAAGGTGACCCGTTGGCACAGGTCACCCACAGTGTCATCCTGTGGTGTGCATTGCTGGCAGTATCACGGGGGAGACCCAGGGGCAGCCCCAGAGCACTCCCCAGGGCAGCAGAGACTTTTATTTCAACATTTCAATTCAGCTTTCCCCTCACTTCAGTCACAAAGTTTCAGCCACACAGAGCAGAAACACAAAATGCTTGAACCCTACTAGTACTAGGCCAGAATGCAGACCAGCCATAACCTTTTGGTCCTGGCCAAGTGATGGCTTTGCATCCAAAGAACAGGGCAAACTGCTCAAATGTAAATCCATTACTTAAAGAAATTGATTGCTAGATTAAGGATACTGCAACCTGCATGAAGGCTTTGGCTGATGGGGGGCCTGATGCCTACCTCTTCAATCTTGTCCTTACATTACACCAAAGGCTAGAAGGTCCCATGAAGAGTCATCATGGAGGACATAACAAAATGACTTTCACGAGAAAGCAATAAAAGATGAATGAGCTTTATACAAAAATTCCTATTCCCTAGCAATAGCAAACAAAACAAGAAATTGAGTTGGTGAAGGCATCAATGATTTTTCTCCCACAGTATTGTTTCAAAATGAATTAGGAATAAGAAATCTCCTAGCAGCTGAGCTATACCCCATGACTGTGACATGTTGGGGCAGGACAGATGGATCCCAGACAATCTCATCTCCACAGCTCATAACTACAAAAGCAGCTGATGCTTGGATCATGCAGAGAACATTGCTCCTGGCAAGAACTTCACGTTTCTTTAATTTTTTAAATTATTTTTTTAGCAACTTTAATTACCACTCTGAGAAACACAGAAAAATCTGCTGCCTGCTTTACTCGTGGTAGCTGACTTGCCAGCATTAAGTGGAGGGGGGAAGGGGAAGCCCTGAAAATTAATGAGGCTAAAAATGACACCACTTCTCAGCATGAGGAGTTAGAATGATGCCAAGAGGAATAGAGGTGAAATTCTGGGAGACATGCATCCCTTTACAGGGGTCCATAACTGTACATATTCATACATGTCTGCTTCCCTGGTGCTTTGCTTGTAAAGTCATCCCTGATGCATGTGGGAAGTGTGGGTTACACTGAGAAATGCCAAAGTCGCTCTTGAAGTCCTTGCTGCATTTTAAAGGTTAAAACTAGGAACAGACTGGCATTCTCCTAAAGGTCTTTAAATGGAAGAGCTGTTAAATCACATGCACTGCAGCACGAGTACAGCACTGTCTCTTCTATGTCATTCTCAGCTGGAATTTGTGAGCTGATAGGCAGAGAGCTTGTTTTTAGCACAGGCAATGCTGTGACATCTACAGTTTTCTCTCTCCAAAATCATAAAAAAACCCAGTAAGTAGTGTTTTGAGACCAGGAAAGGTTTCACATAGTTTTTAATTTGGTTGCCTAAAAGACTTCTAAATGCACATTTAGGGTTAACAGTTGAATGCTCACACCTTCCAGTGAAATTTCCCTCCTTGCTGAAGTGAAGTCCCTACAAAATGTCAAGGTGCTGAGCAGGTGTGGTTGCCTTCATTTCACTGAGTTTTCTAGATGTGAGGCTGTTTTTCATTTGTGTGTCTAATTAAGGGTAATAACATAGTTTTAGTCCCATGCAACTCTCCCCAGTTTATGATACTAGCTTGTATGGGGCCTCCTGGCCAGGACTCTGTTGCAATGAGCACTTCTCAGCAGGAATGGGAGTATCCCCCCTCTTTGCACAACACATGAAGTGCAATCACATATCTCAAGGCTTTCTCTTCTCACTGTCTCCTTTCACATATTCTAATTTTTCATGAAATCCTGCCCTAAATTTGTTCTACTCCATCTACATAAGCACCCTAATAATACCACCATTATGTGCCCAAGAAGTTTGGTCTTCTCCTTGGCCCTCACTTATCAAACCCAAGCCGTGGGTGTAATACCCATGTCAGCAACTTCTCCCTGCCTCAGATCATGTGTCTGACTCCACTGCATGGTCTAATAGTCTGTCAGATTGCTTGGTGTCTCCAAATTGCTCACTCTCAGCAGGAGACTTCTGCCAACTTTTTGACTGTGGAACTCTATCAAGTATCTTCTGCCTGAGATGGCTGTGCCTTTAAATGCTGCCAGTGAAAGCTTCACTCTTTCCTTTCCCGTCTATACAGAGTGACCAAAACTGGTCCTCAGGGCTGATCCAGCAGAGGAAACAGCTGCATGCCAGCAAGCTGGAAGGGTTAGGTGCTGTGTAGGCTGCCTATCAGGAAGAAAGAGCTCCTCTCTAACCTTTATACAATCCTTCCTCTTGTCTGTCTCAGCTTCAAAACAATACATTTTAGAGGGTTGTAATGAGCTTGTTTATTTCCAGTGCTAAATTCCTAGACTTTTCCTTTTTCACACTGCTAGCCAGCAGTGGGAAGGTTAAAAATGCAGTCAGTTACCAGTGGCAACATACCAGTGTTGTAAATCCTGCCCACACATCTTCATATCTACTGACATTTGAAACATCTAGGTCTTTTCTGTTAGCTATGCCAGTGTAATTATGTCTTGGTATAGCTTTTTTTTCTACATGTCATCCTTCAGGAGTGCTCAGATAAGTACATTTGAAGGATATAAATGGAAGGAAAAAGAAAGAAGGAGGCTGAAGTTACAAAGAAAGAAAGGAAGCCATTGCAAATAGTTCACTGGGGTGTTTGAAAAAGCAATATCACATATTAATAGTTGCAATTGAATAGCAGATTACTGATTCCTTTAAATTTTTTGAGATTGTTGCCTATGACTGCAGGACAGGCTGTGCCAGTAAAATCAATTACATTTCATATCAGCACCGTATGCTTATCTTGCACAGCAGGGATGTGGAAGTGCTGTATGTCCTTCTAGTCAGCAGTGCTGAAGCTAAACAGGCTGTATGTAGTGGAACTGGCATATATGCTAAGGCAAACGTGTGAAATCCCCATGTGAAGACCAGTGAGTCATTGCTGCTTCTCTTTGCAGTCAGCAGGGAGAGGAGACAGCTTTGCTCTTGGTCAGGATTCAGCTCGATGCAAGGCTGGCCTGAAGGAATGTGAGAACCTTTTACAGATAGTGTGCACACACACACACACACACACAGAAACAAATGAAATTTCCAAATGGAGTGTGTTTCCAAATGCTGAGAAAAAAAGGTTTTACTGTTCAGTCAAGGCCTTCCTGCCTTGCTCAGCAGCCAAGACCACTGCTGTTTCTGCAGGGCTTTGTGAGAGTCCACCCCAGTGCAGGTGACAAAACGGAGCCTCAGGTGATGGGAAGGGTGGCCACAACTTCA